TTTGATAGTTTGTCGCACAYAYTTTTGGAACACGTTAAAACATCRTYTCAAGGAAAATATAAAAACTTGAGRAAGTTTCAGGAGACTTCCCTATAGCTGTTATTCAGCAGCTACAGGCAGCAGGAAGGCTCAGTGGTTAGCACTGATGCCTCACAGCATGAAGGTCCTGGGTTCGATCCCTGRATTGGACCTGGGGTCTTTCTGTGTGGAGTCTGAMTGTTCTCYTTGTGCTTGYGTGGGTTTTCTCAGAGTACTCCGGTTTCCCTCACAGACCAAAAACATGGTTGACCCAGGCTTTCCTTGCAAAAGAGATCTGTGATCTCAGTGGTTCAATAAATGTTAGTAATAAAAATTCACTAACTAGTTGTCAGCAGTCGTGGCCCGCTGAGATACTACCTTTGTTAAGCAATATTTGAGTCRCTGGTGGCAACAGAAAAACAAAACACAAAAAGCTGACACAAAAATMAATCCCTGTGTTGTGATCAGGATGTAATCTGGTAATAAACACTATATGGCAAAGGAAAAATGAGGCAGTGAAGATAAAGGGAACAATAAGTTCACCGTAYGTTCAACGTCACTACCTACGGGGGTGGGGGGGGGAACAAATCTGAGCTTTCAGTAAAACTACAGTTTGCCACTCATTGGTCAYCTTTTTAGACAATCTTGATGCTAATCCTGCTCAGTCACGCAGGGCCAGATCTCAACGACAGAAACAAATATTAGGTAGTTTTGGCTGCACAAGTGGTCAGCGGCACAAAGCAGAATAAAATATATAAATAACATATTCTCTTTTTAAAACAAAGGGGTGTTTTTTTTGTTTGGGTTAAACCATCACTCTAAACTGTCCAATAAATTAATCTCATGTTCTCAGTGCCCAAATGTTTTCCCAGACTCAGCAGGGAGGAGTGCTCAGTTTGATCAGTGATGCTGGCAAACTATAGAGGAACTGAAAAAGCTGCATGCTTCTCTTTGAATTCACCTACCTTTCCCTTTAGATGTACATTTTATAGTTCAATAATATAATAAATAGAAAAAAACTGACAAACGTAAAAAAAAAAAACTGCTGTTACAATGCATTCGTCAATTCAGTTTAGGCACAAAGCAATTTCCACGTAGGGTTGGAGGAGATTGCGTAGTCTCTGATTGTTCAGAAGCAACACACTTCTTTGCAGACAGTGATATGTGCTGAGGTTGGTTTCTTTTTCTTTTCTTTCTTGTGGGGAGAAAAATCTGCAGATGGAAATTCCAAGCTGGACGCCTGGCTTTYTTTCTTTTTTTTTTTTTAATCTGAGGACTGGATTGTGTTGGACTCGTAGTTTTTGCTTCAAGTGGTCTGTCTCCTCCAATTGGGGTCACAAACTGTGAGTCCTGTCTGTCACTGGGAAGCAAGGTCACCAACTCCAACAGGACCGAAACGAAAAGCGTTGCACCGATCTGCAGGGGGAAACAACAATAAAAAATTTATTAGCGTGAAACGAGACAAAAAGCGAAAGTTGCATGTGATTTTATTGATCTCCCTATTCCAGTGAAATAAATAAATGTATGAATCTAAATAATCAGTTAATTAACATGAATTATGGGGCTATCACTTTCTAATATTTTCTTTAATTGGTACAACGTACAGAAACAAAAGGCTATTTAAAAAAAAAATCGGAGAGTGTAGAAAACTAACAGATCCTTTGCTTTATCGTGTGAATGCTGCGTCATAAAGATCTTTCTGTTTGATCWAAAACAAGTTCTTTGAAATCTACTTCAGTGTAACCAGCTCTATGTTTGTCTTTTCACCCAGTTTTTTTTAAATAAGATCAAAATGCTAAATGATATCAGGGTAGGTTTGGTTCTGAAGCTCTGTGCACCTGTATGCTGCTCAGAGGTGGCCCATTGGGTTAGATGTGTCGGTCAGGCCCGGATGGACTCCCGTGTGACCCTGCGGAGCGTCACTGGAGCTGCCGGACACTTTCTCCTCCTCCCGTCTCTTAAGGCAGGCTGCTTTGGGGTTTAGGTTCCGCTCTGCAGGTACAGAAACAATAATATTAAACCTTTCTGCCCATTGTAACATTTAWTATTAATATAATTAGGGCTGGGGATCATCTAGGACACGTGTCAAACTCAAGGCCCGCAGGGTGACTCCAGTGTAGCCGTATCTTACAGGGTAAGATAAAGGTAAAGGGTTGGAGGRTGTAATGATATTAAAATAAAGAAAATTGATACAACTTTTAAAAATATCGAAATATATCGATTCTTATGCGCAGCTCCAATTATAATTGTTCTTATTTGAATGAAATATTCAAACAAARGGATAAAAATCTGCCAAACAATGGTTGAATTACATGTAATTTTTTCTAACATCACTTCTTTAATAATGTGTGTGTGTATGTGTGTGTGTGTTTTATCCAGTGTTTATTGATTAATTTTACTATTAAATCTGACATTTTTATTCAAGTCTTATCTTGTTGTTGCTTATGGCCCGTCAACCAACTGTGGGGTTTTAATTTGCACAGCTAAACACATAATATTCATAATAAATGTGTGGAACTGTTCAGAGTCACGTAGATACACTGTTAAATAAATAACCAAATAAAAAATAAAATATGCATAAAACAATTTCACAACCTTGGTAAGGTAAAGGATTGTTTTAAAACTGTGAGCTGATGTGGAATCACTCAAATCTAAAAATGTCTTGATGTGAGGCAGCACTGGCAGTTCTGTTTGCTGCAGCGATGTTGCAGCACTGACCTCTGACTTGCTGCTCCAAGCTGAGAATGACGGCCACAGCCTGATGCAGGATGAGTAGTTTAGTCTGAGGCTTCTCGCTTTTCAAGTGCAGCTGGCACATGCGGCCCAGCTCCTTGAAGGCCTCGTTGATGTCTCGGACCCTCAGGCGTTCGCGCGCGTTGTTGGCCATCCTCCTCTCGCGCTCACGCTCAGCCTTCTGCTCTGGATTCAGATCCTCGTCTTCGGTGATGCTGCTGCAAAACGGAAACAGAAAATTACAGCAGAGGTCGAGACTTTTCAAAACAAAATGATTTCATTTCTAAAAAAATTTTGAGCCCGTCTTGTCCTAGAAATCTACCTGGTGCGTGGGCCCGTTCTGGGTGTCTTCATGTCTCTTCTGTCGCTCTCGTCATCCGATCGATCGGAGAGGTTATCGTGCATATCGTCCTTTTCCTGCTTCTCGACCTTCAGCTCCAGGGTGGAGGGAACCTGGCCAGGCAGGCCCGGAGTGAGACCTGCCACCAGTGTAGTAAAAATATAGGTAAGACCCTGAACAGACCCTCCACAGATCCATGTCAGTGACATAGAAGTGGCTGACCTCTGAATGCCTCCACCTGATGGTTGAGCTCCGTGCTGGACGTGGAGCCGGCGCTGGGCAGGCCTCCATGGCTGTTGCTCAGGCTGGCAGCGTCATCGCCGCCCTGCTGTAACACAGACCACATGAATATTAACAGGCAGGAAGCAGACTCCCTCAGGAGACTACACATACAGAAAACATCCTGCTAAGAACCTCAYATGGAAGAACTTGCGATTTTTAACACAAAACACAACAAAACAATAAAAGAAAGCTGCTCAGATGAAGCTTCAAATTACAGGACAAATTTGGACAAATTTTTATTGAGACATTCTCAGATGAAGTTATGTTACCACAACTAAAAACTGGCCTCTTTCTTGTGTTTAACCTCTTCAGCTAATCCAGCAAAAACTCAGCTAGAAGATTTACTACATGTTTACAAGTTTTTTCATTTCCCTTTGAGGGTTTAAAAAAAAAGTCAGGAAAAAAAATCATCACTGAGTGTGAAGAGTATCTCCTCCTTTTCTTATGGAATGTGATCCCCCAGTACTGTTGGCCTCTGTTAACCCCAGCACTCCAAGAACCTCCCTTCCTCGACACTGTGCTAATCTTTGCTGCGCTCTCAACAGGTGTCCAAACAAGCCTTTGTCTGGAGGAGGAGGAGGGAATCTGGGGCTGTGGCGAGAAAAGCACGCTGCCATTTTCATGGCCCGGCCCTGATTACCATACAGCTGAGGACCTCTATTTGGATGGAGGCCGCCGGGTTCAGACACACGTTTCCAACAATTCAGATTTCCTGGGTTGTTAAAAAGAAGTGATGAAAAGGGGTGGGGGGGGGGGGGGGGGGGTGTCAGCCGGAGCAAAAAGCCTGCGGCTGTGCTGCGCCGAGGCTGTTGAGCCCTGTCTGCAGGGACCTCTTCCCACACAGGAAGTGCTGTGTTAGTGCAGACACAGTATGTTCTATCTCACAGTCGCAGTCGGTCAACATCACTGCCACAAGCCAGCTCTCTGTAACAAATACATCACGCTGAGCTCCTCTGACAACCACAGAAAAATTCTTGTTAGGGGGACAAAACCGGCGACCCAGCTGCTGCGACATCAAGGTGAAAGCTTCCCACTGACAGAAGACAYAAAGCAGGCAAAAGCATTTTGAAATGACTAAACTATTCACTGGTAACAACAATGACTGAAATTGTAGCAAAAAAGAATATATTTTATGAGCTTGAATTCGGAATAAAAATTATTTTTAATTTTTAATTTATGGGTCAGATAAAAGAGAAAGAAAGAAAATATAACATATCTTTGATTATGRCCTAATTGTAAAGAAGTTCATCAGAGGAACAAATTATAAAACTCACTGGACAAATTGCTCATAGTAGGTTAGATTATAACAAGTAACCTGAACTTATATCTACATTAAAGCTGCGTCTGCACAGAGTGTGACCCAAATTATTTCCAAACACTTCTGGATTACAGTTAAACGASTCGACTCATTCTAATTTCCACTGCAGATGTGTTGGAATCTCTTGGCTCTATAAAATGAAATACCTCGAGTCGGATGGAGGATGAGTGAGCGCATCCTGATTTATACCGAGACCTGCATTCCTTCGCTTCTCGAGAGGCTCCGGCTTCAACTCCGAGGGAAGAGCAACTCACAAACAACTYCTGAGCGAAGCATAACTTCACTTTACCGTGCCTGTTTTTCTCATTTTTTCCTCTCACCCCTGTGTACAGAGCTGCTCTCAAGAGGAGGAGGGTGAGCATTAGGTCAGGCATTACACTTATGGAAAATATGTCACAATAAATGTGTGGAAAACAAAGTTTCTGCGAACGGCACTGCACCAGCTTTAAGCAGGTGGTTGAGCCTCTGACAAAAGCCATACAGGAACACACAAACGAAAAGTGAAACTCTGAAATATTAATGTGACGTTCTCGTACCATTGTTGCAGTCCGACTCGGAACTAGTGTAGAGGAAGGAAAGTTTGGTCCAATGGCTGTTATTGGCCCGTTTTGAGCCTGTCCCAGCAGGCTGTGTATGTCACTGGGCAGACCGGCGGTGGAGCCCACTGCATGGTTCCTCAAAACAAGGATTGCATCATCCAATCTGTCCAGACGATCCTCCATTCGAGACTGGAAGGACCAGAGGGATTGTGAAACAAAGAAACGGGGAAAGTGAGAAAAGATAGAGACAAAGAAGGACAGCTTAGTATAAGCTTATTAGGACAAAAAATGAAAACTGATTGTGTGATGGGGACTTTGGGGGGAAAAATCTACAAAGAAAACTGAAGCATAAGTTAAAAAAAGGAAATTCAAATGCAAGATTAACTGAACCATTTCAGCTTGAGTTGTATCGTTGTAACTACATAACCTGTGGAGGTAAACCCACTTAATACTTTATTTCACATTTGATTCTGATTACAGCAAGCTGGAATGGCTCATGGCATGACAACAAGGCAGCTGATGTTATAAAATAAAACTGCACTATACTACAACAGATGTTAAAATCGTGCAAGAAAGGAAAACAAAACGATGCAAAGATGTATGGGACATGTATGAATTAAGACTCTATCTGAAGGGTACCTCGCAGACATCCTTTAAGAAAGACATGGCATCCTGGAGATGCTCATGTAACTGCTGATGAACTCTGTTTTTCTGGCAAAGTCAAATAAGAATAGGAGAATTATAAGAAGAGGAGATCAGTCTGTAAAAGCCACACACACACTGACGACGGAGATTGTTTTCATTTTTTTCTTAGGTCACGCAGACAGAAGTGTAGGATTTGGAGGGAAGCACGCAGCTGCTGACCGTTCACTTTGCAAAGATGAAAATCTTTGAGAGTTTGCACATTTATTAGCTCTGCACTTCAGCATCGACTGCATCCTCTTCTTTACGTTCTCTACGATGATCTTCAGTTTTAGTCTTTTTATTGTGATATGTGCATTTTATTCAGCTCTGTGTTAAAAACTTTTAAGTAATTTCATTTTTGTTAAACTCGTCCCAAATAAAAACGTTTCCATTGGTAAATTTTATTACTGTTTTTTGTAGCATTAAAAAAATCAAAGGCAGTCATGTTTCTCTTCAAATTCCAGGTTCAGACTAAAACAGTCTTTTTCCTAAAAGCTAATTTTTTWAACCAGATCAGGAATTTTGCCTGATGTTAACATCCAAGCTTGGCTACARATTTAGACAACTGTGTAAATAAGATTAAGTGTCATAAAAACAACTGAGCACCCATTTGTAGACACTAAAAGTGACATAAACTTCTGTTTGTAATACAACCCTGTGTTTACGTTGCCCTGTTGTTTTCCAAATGCTTATTTACCTTCTCAAGTTTTCATTTCTTAGCAAATCGTTAACCAGATGGCTTGAACAAGCAAAATCTCTGAACTTATAAACAAAACTTTAGAACCTTTTCAATCTTTGCTTTTATACAGACGTTTTTCATATTGTTTTCATTTGTGTCGATGTGTAACAAGTGCTTTACCGGTACATGCAAAGGTACATTTAACCTTGCAGCAGATCGTGCAAACACACAACAAGTGCATCAGGTAGTGGGTCTGGGTGAAATTTGGTGCTCAGTTCTGGTTGTGCAGCAGCGAAGGAATTCTRGAGAAGTGGTGCAGCAAACAGCTGCTGCCTCCTCCCAAAACACCGGCCTGCTTAACTCAGCCCATCCCCCACAACTGTCATCATCGCCCCGGCCCACAGAGTAGAGGACAGATGGCAAGCCCCGAGGGACAGGTATTGTTCAGTTTGGTTATCCCTCGACCCCCACTTTCCTCAGAAAAACATTTGTCAGACAGGAATCTCTCTGTAATGCAAGCTCATGCCTTCATGGGTAACTTATCTAAAGTGAGCACAGGTCATGTGACTTATTCACAGGAAGACGGACGAGCGAAGGGAGCTTACCAGCGAGTGAAGAGAGTTCTCATAATTTGGTGAAGAGGGGGTCTGTCCACTTGGACGAGGCCACTGGTTGGTACCTGAGAAGAAGGGAAGTGATATGAAGACGTTAGTAAACATCAACAAGACCAGAAGCTGGGTCCTGCTGAACTACAGAGACACAAAGAAACAAACACAATAATACAATTAAAAACACGCAGACATCCTGATTTTCTGGTTTCTCGTTGTTCTATAAAGCTATTTTTAGCTTTTAGGACTCAGCTGCATCACTTCCTGCTGGCTGGACGGCATCCTGACATTTGAGCCAGTGGAGGTTTGGACTAACACCCACTTCCAGCCTGAAATGTACGCCGCACCAGAACATCCAGAAAGATATGAGCACAGCRAGGCCAGAGAAATATCAGGCACTAGTTTTCATTCACCTCGACTAACACTTGGGCTCTTTATGTTAGAGAAAAAGCTGTTTTATTTAAACTAAAGCAGACTTTTTTCTACTCTAAATAAAGAATAACGAAGCATTTTAACTGTGTAACATAAACTAATCTAACAYATTCTTCACAAGAGATTACAACTTTCCTTTAGCTGGTTTCCACTCAAACCGATTCTTCTCCTCAGTGTAGGGTTGGGTTAACTGTCAGAAAAACTTACACCAGTTAATACTTGCCACTTTGCAGTTACAATTAGTGACAGATGATGACTTATTTTTGTATGAGCCCATGGTATAGTGAGTTATTAAAGGTCTGCTGCCAGTCCACAGTGTGGGGAAGGTGGATTTCAATTCACAGCTGGCTATTTTAGCCTGTTAAAATGAAAACACTGGTTTGTATAATTTTAGAACACAGGGTAATTGATTTAGAGTCAAAAACATGCAAGTGGAATTATCTATCAATTGTCATTTTTAATGTTATCATCCAGATGCCACAATGATTTTTATTTTTTATTTTTTTGCCAATAGTGCCCAACCCTACCTCAGTGTGAGACAGAAAGTAAAGCTACAGGCCAGCAACAGAAGACAAACCATGATTTGATCTGGTGGGAAGTTAAATAAAGATATTCACTTCCTTGCATTGACTGAGGCATAATTCTGCAGGTAACCCACCTGCCATGATTAACAGGAGCCACTTAAACATTAATGAATTTCACTAAACAATTCTTTCCCTCTCTGTGGGCAGAACTGCAATTCAAAGAAACTAAGAATTGTATGGTTCAATAAATGCCTAATAATTATATTAAACAAAACTTGTTTTAAAATCTGGAAAACTTCACTGTTAGAGGAACACCAGGAAAAAAAATCACACCTCCCCGTGGTCAGGAAAGCGTTCACACCGTTTTCTGTTAATTAATTCCACTGAAATGTCTGACTGAACTTCAGCGGTCCTTTGTACTTGAGTTTTTATGTTTCCTTGCGCACTCAGCCTTTGAAAAAAGCAGACGTTAATTAAGCGACTATTAACAGAGAAAAGAAATGAAAGTCTGCTCTGCATCAGCTTTCTCCCAGGTGAGTGAGGAAAGTACTTCACATGAGCCTCGGTGGGCTGGCGGCTATGAAAAATTAGCCCCAGGCTCTGTTCCCCACGTGCACAGGAGAGAACTAATTGAACAAACCAGTCTTGACTAATGTGCTGTATACTGGTGTAATCCCAATGATGAATGGATTTTGCTACTAACATCAACAGTGAGGCRAATTTTGGACCAGTTTCAAAGCATCGTTCCCTTTTCTAGCCTCAGACGAATAATAAGGACAGATAATTGGAGAAACAATATCCTTTCTATATAAACTCACATGTAAACRTTTGACATTTATTTATTATGTTTGTTATTGTTATGTTTTAATAAAATGGGAGTTCCATTTATCATCATTGCTGCCAGGGGTGGCACGCTGTAATGTTAACAGTCGGAGCGAGCYGTCACGGTCCTCACCAGCTGAGTCAGAGCCACCTTCCTTCACCCAATGGTAAATAAACAGAGCCTTTTGCAACCTGGTTTGTGTGTGTGTGCGTGTTTTGAGAGGAACAGCTGTCCATGGGGCAGGGCAACAGCTGAAGATGAGGGGGGGGGGGGGGCATACGTAGAGACAGCTGTCGCCACTCCATTACCGCACACGACACAACTGCCCGCTAAAAAAAACAACACACAGGGCTTTCCCTTACAGTTCCCTCACTCATTCTCCTTCCATTCCTCTGTCAACAGATCTAAATTTCTTTTCTGTATTTAAACAACCAACAAACTAAAACTTTTTTAAGCTGTCCACCTGACAGCAAGATGACGAGCTGAGCATTTGTGCAAAAATAATTACAATTCAGAAAATTTTTGTGTCCGTCCTCGAACAATTATCATGGAAAAGCAGGATTATGTAACAACGAATCATCTCTAGATTTTCTCTTACTGCAAACTAGTGACTGCCACAAGCCACTATAAAAAGCCACTAAAACAGTTTTGGACAAATTAAAAGCTTTTTCCATGAATTGTAATCCAAGACCCACTTCAAACGCTTTTTATTGCAAAACTGTCAAATCCTTCAACAATCTGAAAGCCACAGTAGTTTATTTAATATTTTTCCCCCTTCACTTGAAAGGAAAATGGGGAAAAAAATAAAAATTCTGACTGTGACTGGTGAATCTAAATTTACGAACATGAACAAAGATCCTAACAGAGTTGAAAACCCAAAACTAGTCAGTGATATCACCAGGAGTCAATGTGGATTAGCTCTGCAGACCGAGAAAATAAAGCACATGTTGTGAACTCTGGAACAACAAGCACAGCCCTGCAGGAAGAYGAAGGCTCATATTACATTTACAGTAAATTTAACTCAGTAATCTTGTGGTTTAGAGCAAATTTCGGCTTTTCTTTGTTTAGAAAGAAAAAACAGCAACTGATTTTTCGTTTTACTTGAGATCCACATTTTAAACATGTTGATATAAAAATATTTCCTTTATGTTCTTCTACAGACTCATTAAAGCTGCTAACTCCACGGATCTGCTGTCTTTTAAGAATAATTATAAACAACTGAAACGGGCACGAGGAAGAGTTTACAATGATTAAAGCTACTTTAAAGCTAAAAGAAGGGTTTAATTAAGTTTCAGAGAAACTTTTAAACTACTCTCTCTGCTCAGGCTTTGATTAATCAAAGTCCAAGCAAAATGCAGCACGCAGTAAAAGTAATTAAATTAATCAAAGTCATGAGGCCCTGTTTTTGTAGCGGCGTAACAACAAGTGCAAGGAAATCTTTGACAGTTTGGCAAATTCCAGCCCTCAAAATTCGCTTCATCTGTTTGGTGTTTTGGTGCCAAGCACAGAGCACACAGCGCATACAGTGGGTGGGAGGCTCACTCCAAAGAGGCAGTGTGAAGTGACTCGCTGGTATTGTAGAGKAAAATATGCACAAACTGCACCAGATCTACAGAACTGTTTACTGCACTGCTCCCCGCGTCGTCTCTAAGCTTCTTTATACTGCGTGAAAATCCTGCAACGTTCTAAAGCAGCATGTCGATGAATCCAYTCCCTGTGATTTGAAACTCTCCAGCATCACGCACAACCGTCCACTGTTTACTTTTATTAAATCACATGCAAATGAAACCGGGCGGCTTCAAAGTCACACGATTCAATTCTACAGACAACAGGGCAGACTGCTGTAAGTATTCTGTTTTCCATGGAGGAAAGGACAGATTACAGCAGCTCATCCATCATATGTGTCACTGCCTCCAATTCAACTTTCCTTTTTAGCCAAAGTAGTCTTTTTCTGGATGAATGTGGAGACAGATGCTCTGTCACATTTACAGTACGATGTAACTATTCAAGACACAATGGCAATAAACCTCTATTTCAATTACACAAGTTACATAAAAAGCCAAGCTGTCAGCCTGTGATGTGCAGATTTTAATTTGTTCTGCATCATCCAGACATCCTGGCAGAGCTTTCTTTAGAGTTCAGATGACGCCTCTGCAAGAATCGATTAATCTTCCCACGCTATGGTCTGAGACCTGTTACAGCCAAATGCTTCAAATGTTAGCGTTACATCGATAAAAACAGAAAATATTTAATGTGCTTATTATTACTACAGGTAAAGCTGATCCTAAAGTATTTGAATTGCCAACGCTTATTGCTGAAAGATTTTTGCTGAAAGATGTTAAAGGAGCTGAAGTCAAGCTGAAAAGGTTTAAGAGCAAAATGATTGAGTTAAATTTGAACAGCTGATTTTGCAGAAAGTAGGAAAACAAAAGTAAAAGATCAATAGCAAAAATGTGTCACAACAGGTGTACTGAGCAGAAATATAGCTAAAATTAGCTAAAAAGTACCTTTAACAGCAGAAAAACTGACACTACCAGAAAGAGTTTGCAAGAAGCAAAAACAAGTTGTGAACAAAATGTTTAAAAAACAGAATAAAACTAAAATTTTGACAAAATAAAGTAAAAGAAAAAAATGGCTAATTAGTGACTTTGATCTTTTATTTAGTTACCTTGAAAAGTAGCTGAAACATGCTAATCAAGGCTAAAAGTAGCAAAGAAGTTGAACTTAGCAGACAATAAAAAAGGTTTACAAATTGTCAAATTAGAAGAAAATCAAAGAGAAACAAAAAACTTTGCCGTAAAATAGCCAAAAAAAGAGTAAATTAGCACAAAAAGCTCAAATGTAGCCGAAAAAGCTGAAATTAGCACAAAGAAACAGAAAGGGCATGTTTRCTGAATTAAGCAATAAGAAGTTATTTTATGTATTATTATCACAAAAAGGTGAATTTACCTGAAAAAAGCTCAAATTTTCTAAAAAGTAGCTAAAAAACACAGAAAATAGCTGAAATTAACAGAAAACAGCCAAAAGAAGCAGAAAAGGCAGAAAAAAAGCTAAATAAAAGCTGAATTTAGCACAAATAAGTTAAAAAAAGCTGAACCAGAACAAAAAGTGAATAGTACAGTATGGATTTATTCACATTTTAAAAGATTTTTTAGGCTTGTTGAAAACAGCTCCATTCATTTTCAATGAGGGGGAAAGAAAAAGCTAAATATCTCAAAAAATAATATATTGCTGAATGTCCTGAAGGAGTTAAACGTTTTGATATATAAACTGTTGATTTAGCACAAAAACTGCAGAACGAGATATGTGCAGAAAAACGTACAGAAAAAAAAGATCTGAATAGAGTGAAAGCTTTACAGGCATTCACACAATTACGTCACATTAATTCTGAAGCTCTGGAAGTCTTTATACAGTTGTATTAAAGACGTTTGATCCTGTTGCTAGTATTGAGGGTAAAGAGGGAGTGTGTGCGATTAAAATCTGAAGACGGGAGTCTTACCTGGCCTTCCAGACGGGGTGCCRGCTGCAGCCACGACTGTACCTGCTGAGGCTGCACCTGCTGTGGCTGTCAGAGGTGAAGGTGAACCCACAGGTGTCGACGGATTGGATGGGAAGCTGCTGCTCGTGTGGTCGGGCGAGTAAATCTGGAGGCACAAAGCAAAAGATAGATAACTAAGATCTGTCAGTGCACATGGGAGAACCCRTTTACAGTCATTTGTGTTCAGAACATGGGTCTGATCCATTAAATCAACATTTGTGCTGACGTTTGATCCAGTGCCTAGCTCTGTATATATTATATACAATCTTCAGGAACTTTATTTTACACTAAACTTTGTACAGAGGCACAGCTTGTTTTCTATTCTTATTAAGACTTCTGTGCCTGAATAAGTCACTCCACTTATTATTCCTCTGTGGTTTCCAGAGATACAGACGCCCAACCTGGAAACCCCGTTAAGCCAAGTACAGAAAATCTCCAGGGCCACATTTTAGCCTGCAGGCAGAGATTGTACTGTGAACCATACATCAAAAASTACAAGTAATCAACCGTTGTTTATTTTTGCATCTCCTGGAACTTCTGTGGAAACGACAACTAGGACAAAAGTTTTCTGCAAAATGCACAAATCCCTTTCAGTTTTCCAGTTTTTTTATTTTATTTTTGTTTCAGTGATAGATTAGGCACCGTTTATAGAATGACACGAGAATGAGATTAGATCTTCAGCGCTTCTACTGTGATWCAATTTGTTCAAATAACTGCTGGATTAAAGCACAAACACATCCTGGATTTTCCTCATTTTACAAGAAGACATTTGTGCCATAATGAGGCGTTTCTGAAAGTCAGGGTATTACCGGTGGAGCCTGACTAATTACTAGAGCGAGACAAAAAACAGCAGATTCACAGAGATTTTTCAGCTAAGTTAAGATCAAATTGAGCTTGCAGACAAGCTTTTGATTTATGTGAGGACGCTAGAATACACTCAGTGTTAATAATCTTCTTTTTTAATCTTGATCTCTGGGCTTTAGTTTTTCAATCATCTTGTCATATGAGGACAGAGGTTTCACCGAAGTGTGTCACTGACTGTTGTTTAAGAGCAAAGTCTCTTTTTTTTTTTTAGATTTTTGCAMACTAAGAGAGCTCAACGTTTCTTTCCGCTCAGCGTTTTCACATTCGACATGCAAAAACTTAAGCAGGATTAATAGTGTGGTTATCACTGCGGCGCAAACCAATAAAACTCAAACCAAATCTCAAATCTTTTAGTTTCTCAAACSTAAGCCGTTTATGACCGTGACTTCTGACCAGACAATATATGACTTTCTCCTCCTTTCACTCCTTGGCTACAAACGCCGCATTCAGAGTGAAACATGGCTCATTTTTCTGGAATAAATGAAGCCCCGCCTCGTCATCAGTTACACTCCCGCAGGCGGCATGGGGSCAATAAGCACGGCCAAATTAAACAGGCGGAGAACAAAAGCTCTAAAAGGCGGGGGGTGCCCGTGGAGTTGAGCCACAGCGGTTATAAACTCCCCTGTGCCCTGCGATATATCCACCCACCCCCACCCTGGTCCAACCATGTCCATTTCACTCCAGCTTTGTCATGCTAATAGAACTGAGTCTGCAAATATAAAAGACTTAATTTGAAATTAAGATCCATGAACTTTTATTATTTTGGTTTTACACAAGGAATATTTTTCCTAAAGAAGTAGCTYGAGCTCTAAGTACATTTAAAGTGGAGCTTTATGTGATACCAAAATGTTGAAAAACTGAGATACTCTGCAGCTATGAATCATTTCATGCTCCCAAAACTGAATTTTTACAGAGCAATATAAATCATCCAAAGGATTTTTTTAATCTGTTCCATCTTTTAGCTTAACAAGCACTTACAGTTGATTTTCTTGAAAGCTTTTAGTTTAACTCTACATTTATCCAGGTTAGGTTTCCCTGAGGCTTTTTAATCAACATTTAATCCCCTGCATGATTACTAGACTTAGATTTCTTCACAGAAAAACACAATTATTCTAGTTTGGCTTGAAGAAAGAAAAAAAAACACAATTTAAACATATGATTCCACATTACTTTGATGAGTCCCAGAAAATTATCCAGTACTGATGTGGAATAAAATAACAGAAACAATTCAAACTGGTTTTAAAATCCAATTTTTTTGTTAAAGTTGCATAATAACAGAAAAACTGGACTGAACTCACCGAGGCTAAAGCCTTGCCAAGTGCGTCTCCGGTTTGCGAGCTTCCAGTTCCCGTTCCCCGATTAGCAGCAACTGGGGAAAAACACAAAACTCAAACAAATGAGAAGTGGTCAAAAAGTCACAGAGAAACAATTCGACTGACTTGCTAACTTTAAAGAATAGGTGCATATTTTTGACTGGACTGACGTTGAAGTGACCGGATGCCGAGTARTTTAAAACATACCCATGATCCCGTCAGCCGAGGCGACGGACGAGGTGTGTGCCGCAGTAACAAATGGTGAAGTGCTGGTGTTGCTCCGGTGAAAGCTTGACATGGGAGGAAGACTGGCGTTGACATCCGGAGAGACGGAGTGTGCAGGGTAATTCTGAAGTATATATATAAAAAATAACTTGTAATAAAACCTAAAGTGTTAGGTGTAAAAAAAAAACACTTTTTTTTCTTTAAAGTGTAATTGTCCTTTGACATCTCCCAGGCTGTGATGGAGGAGAAGTTAATGGGGGAGGGACTGAGATAAAGGGAGGGCAGGCAGCATCTGCAGGCTCCCTGTGATGTTCTGCCAGCTGAAGCAGGCAGGCAGACGAGGCCAGATCAAACACTGACAAAAAAAAGGGTCAAAAGTGTCCTCCCTGATAATAACCAGACAACAGCCTAACACACCCGCTCCAAGTCTGGAAGCTGACTTAAAGCAGTTTAGGGGCCAAAGCAGAATTTAAAAGCTATGAAATGCACACTATTATTCAGCTGTGGTTACAAAACAAACCTATAAATAGTCATTCAACTGTTTATCTGGTTATTTATTGCGCAGGTTGCTCACCAAACGGTCGTGTGAGTGCAGGCTGCTGTAGTTTCCTGACTGTGCCATGTGAGCCGAGGATCCCGGGAGCATTCCCCCATAGCCGGGCTGGCTGATCCCACTGGACGGATTCCATGGGTCAGATGAACTGTGGGTACCRTCTAATGTAAACACAGAAGTCGTTTTAGTTTATAAATGTTTAAAACTTAAGGCAGCTTTGACAAGAGCGCAGCTAACCCCGCCACCCTACGTTGAATACTTTAAGGCCATTTGAGGAGTGTTTTTTATGTTTTCTTTTGGGACTGAAACCTGATCCCTGTTCTGAAAACAACTGAGGAAAAACAAAAAGCTAAATCCAACAAAGAATCTATCTATGCTTTGGAGTTAGCCTCGCTGAGATTTAACCTGAGAAAACACTACTTAAGTCTATAAAAATAATATTTAGAGTTGATTCTCCAAGCCTGYGGTGTTAGGATGTGCGTTAGAATAAGCTGATTCTTTTATTAAATCCAAAACTGCAGAGAAAACATGACTTTGAACTCACCGAAGAAAGTGCTTGCAAACATACTGCTGGAGGGTTTAGGAGACGAGTACGAAGGAGAATCTCTGTTGAAGTCCTCTGAGTTTGGAGATGGTGCGTACACCTGCCAGAACAAGATATACCTTATAAAAAACAAGCAAATAGCAAAGCATTGGTTGAATCTTTTAGATATGTTTCTGAGGAAAGGTAATATATAAACTGTGACCATGTTAAGAAAAGGAACCAAATAGTTTATGCAAAACGCAATGCATGTTCATATTTAGAAGTTTATCGACACAAAAGTATGTCATTTCACTTGTGTATGCAAGAACGAGTAAAAAAAATAAGTCCCATAGATGCAGCGCAAACCCTCTGAATACACATAAACATACACACATTTTAATGACTAGCAAGCAATCAAGCTCATGAAGGGAGGAGTGGATTATCAGGAGTATTTGCATTTCAGGTCAACTCAGTCTCTAATGGAAGTATAATGACACTGCTTAAACGCAAAGACTAAAAGCCTGGCAAATTACAGCATTCCCACAGAGACAGAAATCAAATAAGTGGTACAAAAGCAGCCTGTTTTGCATTCTTTATATTTGTACCTGCAAGCTGTAGGGAGAAACGAGAGGCACAATGAGCACGCTGTTGTACAGCTGCAAGTGTGTGCCAAGCTGAGCGGCGGGATCAAAGAGACTGGAGGCCAAACACCAGTGATGTGGTCTCTGACTTCATCCACTCCAGATGGTGGGAGTCGGGGTGAGGAGGGGGAGAAGTGAGAAAAGGTTTGGATAAATTCTTCCCTCCCACAGACGGGACTGGATGACCTCGCCATCATGTAACACTAATCCGAGCCAGACCTGCGCGCTCCATCCACCTGCACATTTCCAGCATGTGTCCCGCAGTCCACATGTTCAAGCCCTCCTTTAACGACCTMATTTCACACTCCGGTGTCGACAGCTCACTCCTCAAAATTGCGTTCTAATGCCCGAGGATGTGAGGACAGCCACAAAGGTTGTTTACTGAAGTTTGACAACACAGCGCCTGTGGAAAATGTGCATCACAGCCAATGTAAATAAATTCATTTAAACTCCCACACGTGAACATATTATCAAGGTAGGATGTGGGACTCCAAGCTGCTGGGGCTTTGCTGAGTGAGCAGGACTCCAGCACGTTGCTGTCTGGATGTGTAATTAAAGTGCTCTGGGAGGGGTGGAGCTCTCATGGGTCCTCTGGCTTACACATGTGACCCGGGTTGATGGTAGTCCACCGAGATCTCAGGTTAGCCTCACACAGGAGCACAGGCTTTGTCTTTTGCCTGTGTCAGACGCTCTATGGACAGCATATGGCGGTGGATAATGCTAATTGTCCTTTTTACCCTGGGCTAACCAGTCCAAGCATTAATAAACCATCCCAAACACCGGGTGCCTCATTCCGTCAGCCTATGGAAGAGGGAGCCCGCCTGGGTTTCCTTTTACAAGACCATTAATTAAAAGCCGTCACTCATGCGGCTCGGCACACCAACTCACACTTACACCAGTTATTTGAGCAGCAGCCGGTATTACTTAAATAAAATGACCCGTAACAGTGACACCAAACATCAAAGCATTCATTTGTCTGAAGAAGACATTTCTTCAAATTAAAGAGAAGTATCTGACAATAAAGCAAAAGACTTAAACCTGATTCATGTTACTGTTTAACAATAGTAGAAATATCAGTACGACTTAATAGATAAATAAATGACAAGAACTTTCAGAAAAAAATATGCTAAAGATATTAGATGCAGTGCTTCAAAACTTTTGTTGAGTCTCTCAACAGTGCTCTGTTTCAGCTGAGTGGAAACATCCCAAACTTTTTCCCCACATGCCTCCAAGCTTACCTGCCTGGCTTTGAAGTTCATGTCACACCAATCAAAACATCGCATGTTAAAACGCAATCTGTCAGCCAGCAGAAAGGATGTAACACAACAACATGAAGGAGGATGAAAAACAATAAAAGAAAGGTAAAATCAGGCTCATGGCCAAAAAAGAAACATGTGTGTGTGTGTGTGTGTGTGTGTGTGTGTGTGTGTGTGTGTGTGTGTGTGTGTGTGTGTGTGTGTGTGTG